AACTCTTCACTTTTGTTCGCATTTATAATTATAATTATTGGTTGTATCTATTCCGGGCACTCTAAACTCGTCACTGTTTTCAATTTATCTTAACGGCTGAAAATGTGTGCTTTTAAAAATTTAGCAACGTTATGAAGTACGAAAGAAGTGCCAATTATAGAGGAATTCTCTCTGGGACCATGCGAATTTTCGACAGCAAAATCGGGAACCTTTGTTTTAATTGATCAAACATACGCTCGATTATCAAGCGCTCTTTCGTATGTATTCTGCTGTATATTATTTCCATCGGTGTTAGAGGGTGTCGTCAGCCATGGTGTTAAAGGGTATCCTTCATCCCCTAAAAGAATGACGCCTACTTGATTTTCATTCAACATAGCTTGAATATTTGAATTTCGCCAAATGCGTGTATCATGTACAGCCAGCCCATTTACAGTTAACTCTTGTGAATATTTCGTTTCCATCGCATGTTGACTTTATCCATTCCGACGCTTTATTGACTATTTTTGGCACACATACCAATTCGTTAAGCAAGCGGTAGTTTGATGAACATTGATGATGATCATTGCCTACACCAGCCTAAACACATTAGTATCTTTGAGTATAAATTCCTATATAAAAATATGTATAATTATGAAGCAAGAAAAAACTTAACTTCGGTTGCACCGAAGCTATAATACCCTTCACAAATATAAAGGCTCCTTACAAGAACTTGATTCCGATCGTTCAATTTGTATGGCAGCTATATGATATAGTGATTTAATCTGAACATTTACATACAAGTACTTGCTTCCGATTATTCAGTTTGTATGGCAACTATATGCTATAGTGGTCCGATATCACCCGTTCCAAAAAATGAGCAGCTACTTAGTGAGAAAAGGACAGGGGCAAAATTTCAGATCGATAGCTTAACATGCTTACATGCTGTATATATACTATAGGGTCTCCGACGTATACTTTTTAGTGTTACAAACTTCGTGGCAAAATAAATATATCCTGTTCAGGGCATAATGATATGTTTACGTGAAAGCCTGAATGGCATATGTAGCGTAAAAAGGACTTCATTATTATACATTTGAAAGAGCACCACCTCGTCTTTTCGAATATGCAGGCAAAAAATGTTCTGCCAAAAAATATACATTTTGAAAACAACAAATATAATTGTTTAAAATTTCTACCACCTCCAACTGTTTTTAATTTGCAATGCTTTCTCTCTCGAGCATCATTTTTGACCACTAGCGGGAATGTTATTTCAAAATTAAATTTTTTAATGTTGTTAGGTTGTAAATCCAATTGATTTTAATTAAAAGAAACATGAACGAAATGTTCTTAGTTAGCTATACAATAGACTCTGAATTTTTCCAGCAAATATTCTCATTTAGGCTATTTAACTTAGCGAATGCTCAAAATCTTAGCAATTGCTTGAATTTGAAGCAAACTATTTTTTTTATTAAAACGACCCAAGGGCTGAACGTACTATAGCGAGAGCTTATCGAGAGTTGCCTCTAAGTGGCTATGTTGAATTCAATACTCGTACAATATCCGAATGGTGTGGGTATGCTTTAAGCAAGCAACTATCCGGATGAAAAGTCGACTCGAAGGATTCTAGTGGTGAAAACTGAGAAAATGGGCGGCATTTCGTAGACCCTATAAGTATATTACTTTAGAAATGATATGAGGGATGAGCTGAGCCGACTTAGACATATCTGTGCATATATACGCGACATGACGTTTTCTCCCCAAGTAGTTGCTCATTTGTCGGAACCGCCGATATCGGACCATTATGAATATAGTTGGTATAAAATCTTACCGATGAAACTCAAGTCTTTGCTTGGAATACTTTTTTATTTGTTAAGGAATCTTCACAAAATTCGGCATAGATTACATTGTTTTTGGATGCCAAATGTCGTTAAAAAAAAACATTTTATATTATTTTACATTAGACGATTAGAAGAAAAGAAGGGACTCTTATGTTTTTAAAGAGACGACCTCTAATGATGAGGTATATCATTTAAGATGAACTGATGAGATTTACGAACATTGTGAATACGAATATTCTGATATTTAGAGTAACACTATAATACAATGTTCTTGTATACATACATTACATACGTTTCTAGTAATAAACTTTACTTTTCAATTCATGATTAGAAAATGTTCTGTTTTTCTTATTCCCTCCCAATACAATAATGTCGCCAAATTTTCAAAATTTACAGTATTTGGAAGTGAATGGGAGGATTAAACATCTATGCCAAGCTAATTTGCACAAAATGAACTGAAATTAGGAATGATAAAACAATTTGTCAAAGAGGTGCGCATGGAAGAATATTGTTCTAATTACATTTGTAGAAAATTGGAAGGTTTCCTTATTTTTTAAAATATAACCGACATTATAGATATACATACATGTGTTTCTGTTATTTTTTTCTGATTTTTGTAATATACGATGGAAATAAGGATTTTTATAAACGAGATCAAAATCATTGATCATGAATTATAATATATATTGTATATATATATATATATATATATAATCGGTCTTATATCTGACCAGTGCTATTGTATCTAAATATGCGAGATTAAATATATTAAATTAAGAAAACCAATTGGCTGTTCGCGTATTGTCCACGCATTACAGAAAAAAACAACAGCTATGCGCTGTTGATTCGCTGTCGAAAATCGGAAGATGAAGCTTGCAAATGAAGTTTTAGATGTAATCATCGCACAAAACAAGTGAAACAAAACGAAAACAACGCCCAGGTTGCCTGCTTATTGCTACAGCCCCGCCAGTAGCGCAAGCCAATGCCACCACCTCCCTTAAGGGCAAAATCGCTGTAATACTATGCCTGCAGTGCACACGAAAACATATAGTATTTGTGTACATAGTGGCTGGCAAGCAAAATGTGTGTGTGTGCATCACTTCTGTATACCCATATTTATATACCTCATGTTCGGGTCGGTTTGTATTGATCGGTAGCCGGCGTGAAATCACTCGTAGCCGTGGCCGTGAGTGGATTAGTGATTCTCCCCTGTATGTGTGCAGTTCCGTAGGCCCTCAATGTTTTAAATGCTGTAAGCACGCTCCGCAGCTAACACAAACGGCCAGCCTTCTTGAACAGAAAACGACAACTTGGGCGTGGCTTGAAATCAACCTCGAATGGTTGAAGAGTAACTCGAACTTTTGTTTGTACCAATATAGATTGTGCCACAAACACTTAGTTAAAGATGCAAATAAAGAGACTGTCAAAGTTTTCTCTTTCGGTTTTCTTTTCATTTGTTGTCTCTTCATAACTAGCGGTAAAATGAACAATGTTATCAGAGAATTTTACTTCTAAACCAAATTAAATATCATTATCCACGCGTAGTCATATTATGTTTTAAATAAATATTATAAATAAATTTTGAAAGACATTTAATGACATTGTAGTAAAAGAGGACGTAGAGAGGGCATCTACACTTGAACGGTAAGAAATAAAAGTTAATGAATCAATCAGTATTTAAAGTTGTGGTGTAGGCCTATGTACAATCCAAATTCCAAACACTATTAAAAACACTATCCATCTTTTTAAATTATGTCTGATGGCTAAGGATTTTTAAATAAAAACTGTACTGAGAGATACCAACAGTAACATGAAAACACGTTAACTTCGGTTGTACTGAAACTATAATACCCATCACAAATACAAAAGATTCCATTCATGAAGTTGATTTTGATCGTTCAGTTTTTATGATAGCTATATGGTATAGTGGTCCGATATCGGCGGTTCCGACAAATGAGCAGCTTCTTCGGGCAAAATTTCAGATCGATATCTCAAAAAATTAAGGACTAGTTATACAGAGAGACGAACATGACTACATCGACTTAGCTCGTTATGCTGATCATTTGTATACATACATACATATGTATTTATTATAGATACATGTGTATTTTAGTTTGAATTTACCAATAATCGGATAGATTTCTTGAACAAGTGAAAGTAAGGATTTTTGGCCATTAAAACTTTTCAATTAATAATTTAAATAATTTTTATGCAACTCTATCCAGTCAGTATTTTTTACAAATTGTTTAATTTTTAATCTATCATCTTTCAGTCAGTTTTTAAAGCGGGACTTCGACGATGATATGATATAAAGATATAAAATTTTTAACATACAATTCCCTACTTTTGAGTTTTTACTTTTTAATTAATGAAAAAATGTACATTAACTTTTGCTATGTTTTATTCGAAAGAATTGTTGTCAATAAAATTGAAAGCGACCTCATCAAGTAATCAACGATGAACATTTCAAAAGAATCATTACCAACTAGCCAACTTTTTGTTTTGAAACAAACCAATGATATGGCAATAGCTTTTTTCGGAAAATTATTATTTCTTATCATCCATATAATTATTATATTATTCATATAATCGCGTAACGCTTTTATTACAGCAAAGGAAGGATGTACTATGTATATATGTATATATCTCAATTATTTGAGCTTTCGAATTTCTCTTATTTACATACATATATACTCTTTTATCAGCTACGAGAGAGAGAGATCCTTAGCGGCATAAGTAACATATATATACATATGTAAAAAACAGTATGTGCAATAGCATCAGGCGGGAAATGTTAAGAGATGGTTTCAGCAAATGAGATTTTGCCTCAGGCAGAAGCATGCAGCCGAAAGAGCGAATGCGCTTTCCGGCTATAGTTGTACACTTTGTTGAAACGGCCGAAAGCGAGACAACTGTTCTCCTGCCTTATCTGACTCATTGCATGTTAGTTTGCTACGAACTGTTCACCCCTGGCATTGTTGAAGTTGCACATAGAAGGAGATCTACTGGCCAGTAAAACAATATGGAAACAACAAACGAGGCAGTGCAGCCGAAAGCAACGCAACAGCATCTGTGTTCTCTGCACGACAGCTACTATGGCATCAACGACAGTCGCGACAGAAGTAGTAGTTGTTTACCTATATACCCTAAAGGTTTTTATGTCCAAACAGAAAATTTAGTTTCAGTCGAAAACTACCGTCTCTGACTGCACAAGGGTAAATGTCGTTTTCGGGTTGATGCTGATATTCAACGCCAACCCATTGTAGTGCGTGGCGCTTTGTTTTTGTTGTTTTTTTTTTCGCTTTTCACCAAAAGGACGCTAAAAAAAATTATTATCAAGTAAGACACATGTATGTCACAAAATTGAAATACGCAACTGAAAGTCAATACATAAATCTTTTATGTATGTACATAAACCTTTTTACAAAAATAAGAACCGAACAAGTCTTCAATATAGACTGTTAAAGCTTTAAAGTTTCAACTAACACCAGTCGCATATGGATATTATCTTGTGTTATTATATTTACATATGTACATACATAGTACATCAATTTTTGTGAAAGCTACGATATACTGCGATAATAGTGTGAAGTGATAAACCGGGTTTTCAGTTGTAATTTGTAAAAAATCAAATTAAAATTCCTACTTCATTAGTAGCCGAGTGATCTCTGAAAAGTAATGTGCAATCATCGTTTAATTATCTATATGAATAATCATATAGTTGCCTTTTATAGTGCCATTAGTGTATCATAAAAGATAAGAGCGGATATTGTTCGTACCTGTAATTATTATTTACACTTTTGAAATTGTCAAGTTTCATCAAATTAGCTCTTGAATTTAAAATCTATTTACAAATGCATATCCTACATCGAACCAGTGATCACCAGTTCGAGGACCAGAAATTCATGATGGTGAGTGGATACGTAATTAATTACACTTTATTCTATTTTGAAATGTAGGTACTACGAGTTTAGCTTAATATGCATATATATGTACGAGTATGTATGTACATATGTGTTTGCTCTATGACTTTGTCGGTCTAAGTCTGTTATACGTAATATGTTGTTATGCTAGACGAGAAGAAAGCAAATTGTATGTACATATCTGAATGAAGTTCATTGCGAATTGGGATATCTGGATGTCTATAGTATATTCGCACCAAATTTCATAAATTCATTCTTGTTGATTGAGACGACCCGTTGATTGGGAGCCGGATTGATCGACATCGAGAAATTCTTATTTTCAGCTACAATTTATAGGAATGGCAGAGATTTTTCTGAAAGCCTACAAGTTTTGTGACCGTTTTTAATAATAATACTGGTCTACAGTGGTTTTGTTGCCCTGGATACATATAAGATCGATTTTTAATTAGTTGTGGTCACATTGCCTGAAACTATTTATGGTAAGATTTGCGCTCGTTTATTTTTAAGTTTTATATTAAGAAAAACACAAAACATTAAACAAAATAACAGCAATAACTATTATTTCCTAAATTATTAAAAATTTTATCAATGAGTAAAACAGGACATTTTTTTGACTGATCTGTCTAGATATCTCCACGTTTTATTTTTATTGAAACCTTCCGGATAACTTTTTGCAGATTTTCGGTAAGGAGACTGGGAGTGTGGATCACGTAATGTTTGTAATCGCGAAGATGTCGTCCAATTCTAGTTATAGGTATTAAAAAGCAAATTATCGCGGATGGCTTTGCTATGCAAATATGTGTACATACATATATCTCGAATTCGAGCCGCACCATTTATGAAGATTTAATTAAGCCTATAATATTCTCCTAAATATCATACAAGCAATGAGATGGGAATGACAAGATGACTTCAGCGATTTCGAAAAGCCCGTGCCAATTGAATTGAATTTTTCTTACACTATTATAGTAGCTTTTCGATAGCGTCTACAATATTTCAAGTTTGTTAGAATCCACAGATTCAAAATTCAAACCATTTGGTTGCCGACTGTTTTTTCCATCATAATCCCACATTATGAAAGTAAAAAATGTGCTGTAGCAAAATCCAAAGGTTTTCTATGCAAAAGCGCTAAGGACATCCTGACTTTGTTGAAGCAGCTGATATTGAAGAGGTAATATATACCTGTTTCAAATTAAAGAATTTTAAATTGTTTTATCCTATTGTGATTTTCGTACCAAAAAAAAAAAACAAACAGTTAATTTTTGGTAAATACATAGTACTTAGAAGTTATACACTTTTGTATATTATTTTCATCATATCTGCCTTTTTCATTTTTAATAGAGATTACGTCAGAACTTAGGATATTATTAATAGACGTATTCTAGAACTCTTTCCACTAAAATCAATCTTTAGGACCGAAACTAGTAGTTAATATTTATAAGTTCTAGACAAAACACATAAATGCAGTTTACTGAAAGATCCCAAAGTATGCGAAGGTCGGTTAAAACAAATTGCTGCATCAACCACATAATTTCCATTTTAAAAGGATTGTGTCACTTAAAATATGAAAATTTCTATCTAATTTAATACTAATATCCAGCTATATGCTATAGTGGTCCGATTTGAACGATTTGTTTGATGGTTATAGCGCTGCCCTGGATAATAAATAATCTATGCCAAATTTTGTGAATTTCGTACCTTGTCTAATAAAAAAAATTTCATACAAGGACTTGAGGTGGGTCGGTCAGTTTGTAACGCAGCTATATGCTATAGTAGTCCGATATCGGCGCTTCCAAAAAATGCGCAGCTTCTTGGGGAGAAATGTGTACAATGTTTCAGAGGTATATCTCAAAAACTGAGGGACTAGTTCGCATATACATATACATGGACGCTTTCTTTTACGTGTTGCAAACATCGTGGATACCCTGTTCATGGTGTAAAAATAGATCAAATTGGCATATATTTGGGCACACTAAACAAAATATTTCCAAATACTTTATTATGATATATTACATACTGACCAAATTATTAAAAAATTCCTAACGCGTAGAAGTTTTTGTGATGCAGTCAAGGAGTGTGGGGTCAAACCTCCACCATTTACTAAAATGACAAAAATAGCTGTACGTTATAGAAAATTTTTGTATTTAAAATCGTATCAGGACACCTCAAATACCCCCACAGACCACTTAGCACATCAGTCGCAAATTTTTCCTTTAAATTTGTTGAGGTGTGAAATTAGAGTAACCGATCAGCCAACATTTCCAAACTATAATATATAACGCATAAAAAACTTTTCACCTGAATATACCGTTCCACTTTGTGTCGGCCTGCGCCGGTTAAACGACGGAGACCTGCATGGTAGGTTGGACGGACGGACGAACGCACGGGCGGCCAGTGATTTGAACAAAATTATTATGTATGTACCTTTTGCAATATGATATACATAGGTACCTGCTGCAGCCAGATTTGGGATTTTTATGTAACATACATATACATATGTATAAGTATTTTCTACGCAAGCCAATTATCTGTCAACAGAACCCATTACACACATCGATTTCTTGCAAATTAGCAGTATATGAACGTAAATGCCAATGATTGACACTTAAATTTATATAAGCAAAGACATGTAAAAGATCAATCAGCTCAATACACGCAAAAACAATTACTATCCACTTAATACTACGTATGTAAATCTAAATTTAGCTTATAAACATACATATAGGAAAATATACTTGTATACCATTCAAATACTAAGTGTTTACTATAAAATTTACCGAACATGTCATTACACAGTTGGTTTATATGGCAGATTTCCATTGCCCCATTTAAGACTGTAAAAGCAAGAGAAGGACATTTTATCTGCATATTACCATACACATAATTCAATATAATACATAAATTAATCAAATATAGTTTAATACGTTAAACTCAAATTGAATGAAATAATGAAGCGGATCATTTATGCCAAAGCAGTAAAACCCGAATACGTTTAAAAAATTTTATAAATATTCTTTCTAGATTTTTGTTAACTCTATTGATCAGCTTAATTACTTGTCGATTTTCTGTGGTATAATACCGTAGACGACCGAAATGTCTGATTTTATTGAATGATAAATCATAATCGTAAATTTTAATCATAAATGGAATCAAGATTTTCATAACTGTACATACTAACTAATTTTCTAATAAAACATTTAAAATTAAAATTTTTAAAATTAATTAGTTCCGTGCATGAATATAAGTCCGCAGTATATGTACCAAAATTCAGTATTACCAAATCTCGAGTTTCTATCACACTCTTATTGCATTCGAAATATACCTTCATATATCTGGCTTTAATAAAAATAGTATTTCTCAATATTTTTAATTGAAAGCTTTTTATCATTTGAAGCTTTAGAAAATTGTTTTCTTTTGGAGTTGCTAGAACTCTATATATGAGCACCAGCAGTACTCCAACTTTACATTGAAATGTTTATAAAATGTACACAAACTATGTAAAAACTAGTAAGGAAGGGCTAAGTTCGGGTGTAACCGAACATTTCTCTCTCTCGCAAGGTAAGTTGAAATATGGGATTTTAGTACAAGTATATATTTCAATTAAAAGCAATAGAAAGTATTGCATTCATTATTTACAATCACAGGGAAGAAGATACACTGTTATTTAAAAGACATTATTCTTAAATTTCATTAAGATTTCATACATATTGGCCGATAGAAGTCAACCGGAAGCTCGAAAATGTGGGTGTGGCAGTGGTCCGCAATACCAACCTCACTTGGGTGCCAAGGAACATACTTATGTGGCAAGTTTCATCAAGATATCTCAATTTTTAATGACGGACGAAGCTCCACAAAATTGTATACAAATTCTTTGATCCATTTTTTGGAATAAGCAAAAAAAAAAAAACGCGTCCAAGCAAAACAGTTGTCCTTGTCAGCACAAGGGATATGAGTACGAACATAACGCAATAAAACAATAGAAAATATACAATACACCTATCCCGCGACAAATTAGACGACAGACGTTTTCCGAAGCGTTTTTTTGAATTTTGTCATTCAATCATCACTGGCCCAAAAATTCCCCTTTAGAACTTAGAATGAAACTGCTTCGCCATTGTCTTTAAAACGGCACCACTATTAGGGATTGGGTTACGACGTTGAGTCATAAATCATTTGCAGAGGGCCTGCACCTACTCGGTTTTAAATTTCTTATATTTTATAGTACAAACCAACGATTTTGAAACTCCATGTTTCCTGGATATGGTCTTTACTGAAAACCGCTTGGTGGACTCGTCCAAAATCATTAGTTTATTTTCCAATCATAAACGCTTTCTATTCGACATTTCACTTTCTATACCAAAGGAAATGGAACCAATAGCACGAAAAAATAATATTTTGAACTATCTGAATTACATTTAATCCAAAGTCAGTGGGTACTTGAAAAAAATTAATTTATATTTTCTGGATGACCATTGTATTAGAATCGTCCATACGTCAATTTTTCTGTGGAAACATTGTCATAGTTTTGATTTTGTGTAAATCTTGCTCAAATGAATTTATAAGAAAGTGACTAGTTTAGAAAATTATTAAGACTAACATATATATGGGTTCAATATGCCCTTTTAAAAAATGCATGCGTAACTCATATTTTATTATAGTATATCACTGGTCTACAGTGGCTTTGCTGCCCTAGATACAAAATCGTTTGTGAATATATTTGTGCTCACAATTCATGAAACTATCAATAATTTTCTAAGATTTACTCTCGTTTATTATTAAATCTTTACTTTCATTTTACTTTTAAAAATTAGAAAACATTAAACAAAATAACAGATATATTTATAATGTCAGTTTCGATTTGAAAAATTAAGTCTCAAAGTTATTCAGCATACTTTTTACAATTTCTCCATAATTTGGTGCTTTATAGTTATAGCTAAGAAATTTCAGACTATAAACATCAAATTTTTTAAAGATTAATTTTTTAGAAC